CAAAGCAATCTACAAATTCAATGCAATCCCTATCAAAATACCAATGGCATTTTTCACAGAAGTAGAATAATCTTAAAATTTATATCAAACCACAGAAGACCCTGAATCTTGAGCAATCTTGAGAAAGAAGAAAATTGAAGCTATCACGCTGCCTGATATAAAACTATACTACAAGCCTATAGTAATCAAAACAGCATGGTACTGGCATTAAAAAACATGCACAGCTCAACAAAACAGAATAGAGAGCCCAAAGATAAATAAACCCATGCCTATACAATCATTTAATCTATGACAAAGGAGGCAAGATTATAGAGTGGAATAAAGACACTCTATTCAATAAACGGTGTTGAGAAAACTTGACAAAAACATGCAAAAAATAATGAAACTGGACCACCTTCTTATGCCATATCCAAGAATAAACTCAAAATGGATTAAAGACTTAAATGTAAGACCCAAACCATAAAACTCTTAAAAGAAAACATAGGCAGTAAACTCTTTGACATTGTTTTTAGTAATATTTTTTCTGATCTGTCTCCTCGTGCAATGGAAACAAAAATAAATAAATAAAAGTGTGGCACTATATCAAACTAAAAAGTTTTTGCACAGCAATGGAAACCACCAACAAAACAAATGACAGCCTAATGAATAGGGAAGATATTAACTAATGATACATCTGATAAGGGGTTAATATCCAAAATTTATAAAAATCTCATAAAACTCAACACCAAAAAAACAAACAATCCAATTAAAAAATAAGCAGAGGACCTGAATAGGCATTTCTCCAAAGTGGACATACAGATGGCCAATAGACATAGGAAAAGATGATCAATGTCACTAATCATCAAAGTAATGCAAATGGAAATCATGGTGAGACACCACCTCGTACCTGTCAGAATGGCTATCATCAATAAATCAACAAACAACTAGTGTTGGCGAGGATGTAGAGAAAAAGGAACCTTTGTGCACTGTTGGTGGGATTGCAAATTGGTGCAGCTACTATGCAAAATGGTTTGAAGGTTCCTAAAAAAATTAAAACTAGAACTACCTTATGACCCAGAAATTCCACTTCTGGGTATTTATCCAAAGGAATCCAAAACACTAATTTGAAAAGATATACGAACCTCTATGTTCATTTCAGAACTATTTACAATAGCCAATATATAGAAGCAACCAAACTACCCATCAACAGACAAATGGATAAAGAAGTGATACATATACACAATGGAGCATTACTCGGCCATAAAAAAGCATGAAATCTTACTATTTGCAAAAACGTGGATGGACCTACAGGGTATTATGCTAAGTGAAATAAGTCAGACTGAGAAAAACAAATACCATATGATCTCACTTATATGTGGAATTTAAAGAACAAAATAAATGAGCAAACAAAACAGAATCAGGCTCATATAGGGAACAAAGTAATGGTTGTCATAGGAGAGTGAGGTTGGGGAGCTGGTGAAAAAGGTAATGGATTCAGAAATACAAATTTTGGTAGTTATAAAATAGTCACAGGAACATAAAGTACAGCATAGAGAATGTAGTCAATAATGTTGCAACAACTATGTACTGAAGTCTGACAATTAACTTCGTGAACTTGTTGCAATAATGTTGCTAACCTTTTTTGATATCAGAGGGATTATTCATTATGAATTTGTAAGAACTGGACAAAAAAATCACCATGTTGACATTTGGAAGTGCTGAAAAGGCTGCATGAAAAAGTTAGACGACCTGAACTTTTCACCAACAATTCATGGCTCTTGCATCACGACAATGCACCAGCTCACACAGCAGTGTCTGTGAGGGAGTTTTTAGTCAGTAAACAAATAACTGTATTGGAACACCCTCCCTACTCACCTGTACTGACCCCCAATGACTTCTCTCTTTGCCCAAAGATAAAGGAAATATTGAAAGGAAGACATTTTGATGACATTCAGGACATCAAGGATAATAAAATGGCAGTTCTGGTGGCCATTCCAGAAAAAGAATTCCAAAATTGCTTTGAAGAGTGGATTAGGCGCTGGCATCAATGCATGGCTTCCCAAGGGGAGTACTTCAAAGGTGACCATAGTGATATTCAGCAACTAGGTATGTAGCACTTTTTCTAGGATGAGTTCGCGAACTTCATTGTCTGACCTTGTATAGTGCCAGGTGGGTACTAGGCTAATGGGGGGATCACTGCATAAATTATATAAATTATATTAATGTCTAACCACTATATTGTAAACCTGAAGCTAATATAAAATAACACTGTATGTCAACTGTAACTGAAAAAAATAAATAATTTTTAAAAAATAAGCAACTTGAAACACCAATCATTATAAAACTAAAAACAGAGAACTAAGACAAGGAAAATGAGATCAAAAGCAATTTACCAGAGTTCTACTAGTTGTCCCTCCAGAAGCTGCAATAGCACATTGTCCAGCACTATGTATTATAGAGAAAGGTAGCAAATAACCAGGGGCCCTTCTGTTTACGTGCAGAACGTGTGATTATGGAGACCCTCCAGAAGGTAGTTGCTTGGCCTATGAATATTAGTTGGACAGGAAAATCAGAAGACAATTATTGGATTTTCTGATTTAAGATGGTGAGGGCCTAGAGAGCATTGAAAATGCATACCAACACATACAGACAAAAATATATGCATGCTACATATACACGCAAACTCCTACACACTATGTTTCTTACATCATTTACCTTTTTTCTTGATATTTTCCCTAAAATTTGGGGGGAGGGCAGGCAGCAATTATGCCAGAATCTATTTTCCATCTTTGGCAACTTCCACAAATCTGATATCTTTATCCTCGTCTATTAAACACCGTGACTTACCAAACAAAATCAGTACCAGAAGTAACTGGACTCTAGAGTTCCTAATGCCTATTTTCTGTTGTCCAGGTGCCTCAGAGAATGCACTGCTTTCAGAAGAAACAGTGAAGCAAGACATGTAATTGCAAATTCCCAAATGAAAAGGTGTAAGGTTAAGTCTGTAAGTGTGAGAAACCTAGTGACTGGAAAATGGAAGGAAAGTAGGGACAAACTGACTGAAATGTAGTATTAACATCTGGAATTTTCCTTCCAAAGTGTGAATCTGTGTCAAAAGTGCCCACATCCCAGGTACAGACACAGCACCTGTTCCTCTCCATAATGGAGGTACAATGAAACCTCAGTCACGTTCTCCTGTCCCAGTGCAGAAAGTGCAACATACTCCAGTACATTCCATCCAAGCCTGGCACTTAGTCAGGAGGCTGTGAAAGAGGCACCCTGAGTGGATGAAGTGTGAGTAGCTCCCTCTTTCCCCTTCCCTGGCATGTGACATTTGACCTAGCTGAACCATTCACTGGCTCTAGAACCCTGGGTTCATTGCTATCCTCTCATCATCTCGGCTTCTTCATCCTCCCCCAATAGGCACAATGCCAAACATCTCACTCCCAAAGTTGCTCTATAGCTCCCTGGGGTTAAGGGGTGTGTCTAGCACATTAGCAGACATTCCGTAAATAATAGTTCCTCTTCTCTGATCTTCCTTTTGTCTATTCTTAAAAGACATGTTCTTCTAAGTCTCCAAAAGCTTCTATTGGTAACCAGACAGCAGCTATACCAGAAAATAAACAAAGAACTAGAAAAAGTTGTTGGGAAAACTTCATTTTTCTCTTTTCTGAATTTAAATGAAAGAAAGGAAAATACATGAGGACTAACATATACAACAGAGAATGATGAAATATAACTTATGCTATCTTCTCTTTGTCTGTTTGGTACATTTTGCCTCTTCTCTCAGAGAATAACCCTGTGGACACCAAGAATCATCACCTTTACAACTTCTCTTTGGATGTGAATATTGTAATAGTAAGACATCAACATATAAACCACACTGAACCCTTACCATGACAACGCCCTTCCATCCACGCAATGGGATTATGTAATTGTCCAGTAGGTTTCACAAGGTCATTCTAAAATGTCTCACACCTAACTTCTTATCCTTTGACCTCCAGCTCTAGGATGAGAGTCAAGAAGGATCTACATTATATTGCAAGGTATTTATGTAAATTAAGTATGAGACACTAAACGAACATTCAAAAAAGCAGTTTTCTCCCTCAATCAGAATTCTGTTCTACCATACAATTATGGCTTCCTTTTATTACTTTAATAAGTTATTATAGAAAAATAAGCTATCATTAGAAAAAGCTAAAGGGCTGTCCATTATGAAAGGTCTGCATCAATAGGAATTTTGTAATTTATCCATCACAGACTGTCCACCAAAAAAAAAAAAAAGATCTCAAGTATCTAATAGGAAAATAATGATTTTAAGCAAAGAGAATCTACCTTATTGATCTTAAGTATTTATTATTCTTGAGGTACACCTAAAAACAAGATGCCAAGAAAATAAGCATATACAAAAATCTAAAAAAATAACAATATGAAGCTTTAAACTTGAATAAAACTATTTCATCTTTAAAGTTTTTATCTACTTCAAAAACAAGACCATAAACACACATCAGACCCTTAACACCAAACAGCAGTGATCATCATTAAAATAAGACTTATTTGAGATGGGCTGAGGAAAAGACAAAATTTAGAGATTTAAAGCTTCATCCCTAAGGGAATCACATTTTTAGGGTTACATGTTTAAAGGTCACAGGTCAGACAGAAATTAGACACAAAAGAGGACATACTCTATTATTCCATTTATATTATAATCTAGAACAGGCAAAAATAAACTAGCGATAGAAAGATCAGTGGAAGCCTGAGGCTGGGGGTGGGGAGTGGACTGCAAGAGGGCACGAGAGAGTCTGTAGGTGATGGAAATGTTTCATAGCTGATTGTGGTGGTGGTTACATGACTGTATGCATTTGTCTGAACTCATCAAGTTGTTCATTTAAGCAGGCACATTTATTGTATTTAAATTATACCTCCATAAAGGTAATTTTTAAAAATGTATTGCTCAGACAACATTCACATTCATTTACCATATTTTCTTTCTAAGCATCACAGAAACAACCTACACCTACCTGAAGCTGTGCCACAGCACGGTGGTACCCACCATGCTGAAGAAAAGATGCTTGCAATCACATCAGGTGGAAAGAGTGTCACATTTCTCTGAATCTGTAGTAAATTTAACACCAATGCAAGAAACACTCCAATAAAAAACAGCACTACTCCACGAATCATCAAATTCACACTGCGGCTAGTCACAGATGAGATATAGGGGCCATGCTTTTTGGGCCCAGGTGACTCTGTCTCTCCTTCTGCCATCGTTTCATAAGGTCAGTAAGCCGCCAAAAAAAAAAAATGGTTTCCCAGCTGAAAAGCCAACTGTCTGTGAATCAAATCAGATTGATGTTTCAACAGTATAGTATCTTGTCCTAAAACAGGACCTACCAGAAATCCTGCAAGAGATAAGAAAAAAGAAATCAATGTGGGCGTAATGATTATATAATTTTCCTGATTTCAATACTAATTAATTTAAAGGGACAAATAATGAAATAACAAACAAATATTTACTTATATCAGTTGTTGACTGAATAAGAAAAGGTTTAAAAAACATTTTATATGCATGATGTAATAATAAAAAAAAGTACTACACTTACATTTACTAGGACAGAATAAGTAACCAAAGAGACTTAGAATAATAGTAAGAGCAGTTTGCTCCGCCTCAGAGAAAAGCTGAGCAGGTTATCTGAGGCACTCCCACCAGAATCTGGAAGATCAAAATCCAGATTTCTGTTTCATCTACCTAAATTTTTATACTTTACAGAAAATAAATTTATACTTTACAGAAAATTAACACATTCTGACTGACAACATTGAATTGTTCATAGTAAAATGTGACTTGCTCATGTGGACAACCTCCAGAGAGGAACAAAAGGACGTGTTTTAATATTTAATGCTTATATATTTGAATTTCTGCTCAAAAGTGTCTTACCAAAAGCAGTCACCACACATTCACCTACACATACACCAAGCACAGAAACCAGTCGTGACCCTTTCTCTAGAGCCACAGCTGTGTCCCACCCCTGTCTTGACCCAATCCACCCACCCTTGTTGCAGTCATGGGAGTTTCAAGAGAAAGGTGGAGTAGGGAGCAGAAGAAAGGAAGCTAAATATGAAGAATAACCTACTTTAATGAGTTTTATCCACACAGATCCTGACTCCTAAAATGTACAATCAGTGTAGGTTATTTGTTTATTCCACTAACCAAAATGATCTTTCCTTTGTGTGTGTTTAAGACTTTTGAGGCTTTTCTATGCACCTGACATACGGTAACTCATATAACTTTCACAATAACCCTAAAAGGTAAGTGTAATTATCATGTCCATTTTACAGGTGAGGCAAAAAAGCAAAGAAAGGTTAAGTCACTTAACCAAGTTTATATCCCTAAAAAGAGGCCAAACTGGGATTCAAATCCCTGCCACCTGACTCCAAAGCCCTCATTCTAATCACAATGTTCAGCCTCCCAAACTGTTGCATATTTTTCTATGTTTTCTATAAATACGATTTTTTTAATGGAATAACACTATACAGACTATTTTTGTAACTTACTTTTATCCCACCCAACAATAATTTACCTTGGGCATCATCACAAGTCAGCACATAAATGATGTTTCCTATAGCTCCCTTATAATGATATGTATAGTTGCTTTATGGGTTATAAACTTTTTCTATAGATCTGATTCACTGTCACGTCTCCGCTGTGCCTATGTACCCAGAAAGGTGCCTCCCTAGCCCATAGTGGGGGAGCTCTATATATTCCTATTTGTTTAATGAAACTGGGTAAACTTTTTGAATCAAACTACACTGGGTTAAGCGGGCCTTTCAGAAGGCAAACCTAGCACTTAATCATCATTTAAAGTATTGGGTTGTCAGAAAAGTCATGACGTATTTTTTCTATGTTTTCCGTTGCAAAAATGCATCATGACTTTTCCGACAACCCAATACATTTCCTCTGCGTTTCCAAGTTTCAAACTACCTTACAAATCAATTTTAAAACAAAATTTATGTGTAAATAGAGAGGGGTGCTGACTTTAGAAATCATCAGTATGAAAATGAGAATATCTGTAACTACTAGCAACTTTTGCAGCCTATCAACTTCATGTGATAAACAGACAAGAGTGTTTTCCGAAGCCTCTATTACACCCAAAGCTCTGTGCACAACACCCAGGGGGAGAATTCTGTCCTAAAGCTATGCACAGTTCTCCATTACCTACTTAGTTTATAGCATAACTGAGCTCTACAGCTTAGAGGACTGCAGAAAACAGTATATATTACAGCTAATTCATGGGACAATAGACTCTAAATGCCAACTGAAAAAGTCCAGAAACACCTCCTCCTAGTTGGTCTTGCAGACTATTCCTTGCTGTGGTATCTGCCATGTCAGCATGGCATGTGTTCGGGTCACTTAGTGAGGTATTCAGTAGCTACAGCATTCTTCTTCATCTTTATCATTATCACGATCATGACTATTGATAAAGCACCCATGTATGGAGAGCCTAATCCATGCCAGACACATAGTAACCCTAATCTTCAAAATAACCCTAAAAGCAGGTGTGATCATCCTCACTTTACAAATGAAGGTGTAAGTCAAAGAGATTTTGTAACTTGCTTATGGTCACATGACATGCAGTATTGGAACCTGAATTTTACCTTACATATGACTGACTCCAAAACCCCTTGTCTTCCCTCTAAACCTTGACTGCCAGTCCAGCCCAACTCCTCAGACTTCTCTTTTGGCACATGGGTCTACAGTCGAGGACTTGGTTACTGAAAAGATGGGTAGACATTAGAAAATAATCTCAATCATAATATATTCTCAAGGTACAAATGTCAGTGTAAGTAGGCCACTGTATAATAGTGCAAAGACCATGAGAATAAATGTACAAACACCTTGAAATTTTCTTTAAATGTACTAGAACTAGATCAAGGTCTAAAAAGATGTTGAAAAGAAAAAAAATTATACAGCCAACTTACTACATTAGACCAATAGTTGACTCTCCAAATTTCCAGTAGACACAGCAAACTCCAACTTCTGCCATTAAAACGGCTACTAAAAGGCAAACAGTATACAGCTGACCCTTGAACAACGCAAGGGTTAGGGACACCAATGCCTGTGCACTTGAAAATCTGCATATAACTTTTTTTTTTTTTGCATATAACTTTTGATCTCCCCAAAACTTAACTACAGTCGGCCCTCGATATCTGCAGGGGATTGGTTCCAGGAGCCCCCATAGCTATCAAAATCTGCAGGTGTTCAAATCCCTTATATAAAATGGCATAGAACAATGCATACGGGGGTCCCCTGTATCTGTGGGCTCCCAACCGTGGACTGAAAATACTGTTTCCGATCCATGTTTGGTTGGACCTGCGGATAGGAAACCTGCAGTACTGTGGACCAACTGTATTTACCGCAAAAATCCATGTATAAGTGGGCCTCCGTTCAAACCCATGTGGTTCAAGGGTCACTGTAAATACATTTTAAGTAACCCAAATTGCCTAGTAAATCATTTATTTACGTTTATGAATTTTTTTCCAAAAGTGAATTAATGGCAAAGGATATTTTATGTATAACTTTTTTAAAAACAGTAAAATAACTTCAGTTTTCAAAGTTATATCAGTTGTGGTAGGCCTCATTTCACAATCACCTCCCAGTGTTTGTCAAAGGGCATTGGCATTCTGGGCAGGACAATTCCTTGTTCTGTGGCACTGCCCTAAGCATTGCAAAAGATTTAGCATCCCTGGCCTGTGCTCACTAAGCGCCAGTGCATGCTCCTTCCCCAATGTGAGACAAATAAAAATGACCCTACATATTTCCAAAAGCCCCCAGACAGGCAATACCCTCCACTGAGAGCCATTGATTGCCAGGGGCTCTTTCCTCAATGAATTTCAAAGCTGCTATAGACTTTCTAAACTCTTTATTTATGTTACTCTACCACAGCTGTTTATCCTTTACTAGCAGTGCTTGTTCATTGTTTCCTACTTCACCCCAAAAGTTTTCTTTAAAATAACACAACATTTGTTTGATGTTTATTTGAATGCGTTTTTAAACTAATTTTTTTTAAGTCCAAAAATCTAATTTTGTGACTGCATAATACAGCAGTATATAATTACTGTAGACAAAAATAAAAGCTAAAATGCTTTAGAATCACAGTATCCCAAAATTTAAGAAGTGGAACATAACTAGGAGATCACCTATTCCAAGGCGTATGTGAATCTGATGCGAAACAAAAACAAAAAAGTTGTGCAGATGTGCATTTTTCTGGGAAGGGAATTCCACAATTTACACCAAGTACTCTAAAGTCCAAAAGAAGTTAAGGACGCGTGATCTAACAATTCTTTCATTTTACTGGCAAAGCAAATGAGATCCAAAGTGGTCAAGTGAAGTGGCACGATCAAGGCTGTTCTACTGGATCTTGCTGCCACAAACATGTAAAGTGAACTCCTGGAAATTGGCAGACTCATGAAAGGGTTAAGAAATTCCACAAGACCATTCAACTCCTTACTGTGGAACAATTAAGTTCCTAAAAAAGCATGTTGTTTGTAATATTAGTCACACACTAGGGGAGTGGGTTATTTTAAAGTGAAAGCTCTTGGAATAAGTATCCCCTAATTTGTTTGCTTTTAAAGTTTGTTTTTCTGATTAAGTATTGATACTATTTTCTGAGAACCAAGCATACCTATGCCTTTAAATATGTTTCTTACATCAATGATAAATTGAGTTCTCCAAAATTAAAAAATAATGTATATTTGAAAACTTTAGATTACTTGATAAATAATTTGCTGATCAAGGAAGGAGTCTGTGGTATAAAAATACCGTTTAAAGGACAGGATCTCAATAGATCCTCAACAGTAATCTTGGTAAGTAGGCAGGTATTTTTAATCCACATTTTACAAAATAAAATTGGTTAAGTAAATTTCTGAGATCATAAAATTGTTACCAGGTATTACCAGGACTAGCCCCAAGCACTCTGACTCCACATCCAGACTACTGTCCATTTCACTACATTGCTTCCACCTACAAACACCATACAAAAACAATTTAAGTACCACACAAGAAAGTTTTTCAAGTCATGTTGATAAACTACTGTTAATACCAAAGCGATACTTTTCAACAACTGACAAAGAAAAAATTCCACATGACATGAAACATTTTACCTTGAGCCCTGACCTACAATTTCTATAAAGACATCACAGCAGCAACAACAACAACCACCAAAAAAAAAAAAAGTTCTAATAGTTTGGGTAAACAACAAATAATCAAAACTAGAAAAATAATTATTCCAGGTATATGAATATGACTACCTGTTAATGGATTAATATTATCACTTTTAGGTGAACAAAAGAGGGATTTGTGAGTGAAAATCAAAGTTGATATTTGCCACTGAAACAATTTCAGGCAATAGTAATTGAAAACAAACACACAAACAAAACCTTCTAGTAACCTTTAAAATCGGTTGCATTTCAATAATTGCAACAACCCCTAAAATCAAACAAGATCATTCATCTTCCAATGATTAGTAATCACAGAAGTATGTTTGTTCCCTCAGATCACCCTGTGCTCAGGTCACATAGGCCACTAAATAATAAAATTAAATTACTACCTCCCATCTTTTTCATCATATGCTCTCTTAATTAGAATGGCATTCTCGAAATAGAATAAGCATTAACATTAGGTAAAACACACTTAAATTAATGAAAAAGTTTAACTCTCCTTAAATAAAAGCACATACACGTGAATCATAGGTTATGGACACTAAAAACTTCCAGGAAGAAAAACATATTTGCCTTGAAGACACTGAAATTCATTTTTCCTCTGGACATTAAAACCCAAACATAGAAACCATTAAGCTAGCAGTATTCACATCCCATTGTTGCTTTTAAATGTCAAATCTCAGTCCCTAAAAAGGTTACTCCATTGCTTGAGAAGAATTTTCTGATAATAATGAAAACAAGCTGTCTTTAAATTACTGAATTGTATTTTATCCTTTCCTTTCCAGCCCACCATAGGCAAAAACAAGTTATCAGGTTATAAAGAATCAACCTTTCCCAAACGTACACAATTTACAGCTTGGCCATTTTATATCAGGTGTGTATTGAGAACTCTAACAAAACACACTACTCAATATAATATCCAAAGAAAGAATGAAGGGGAAAAATAGAAAATACATGGCTAAATTTTTTTACTGTGGGACACCTATTCGTGGCAGCATCAGCTTCATTCATTTTCACACAGTGGTTTGCTATCAAGGCCAAACTCAAAAGTTGGAAAACACCATCTAGCCGCTGCTTGGCTGCCTTCAGTATTCCAGCACCCAGGACTGGAGAGTGTCTTCTTCCCCAGCAACCTCAGCTCCACTGCAATACTGATCTGGGCCAGTTTCAGTGACCCAGCTGTCAAATCTATCCATTTCTTCTTAAAGCATTTCTTCACCAAGCCTACAAAACAGTAAGCTCTTCCTGGCATATTTTTCCTAGACTATCTAGCTAACACTGTACTTCAAAACTCTTTTCCCACCACTCACGGGGCAATTGGGCCCGTTACCATTTTTTTTTAGCACCCGTCCCCCATCATCCACGCTGCTTTCCTTTTCCAGATTGCTAATCCCCACTGACTAACTCTAAAATCCCAGGAACTATCACCAACCGACTTCTAGGTCTCAACGAGAGCTCTCTTTGGCATACCTACACACCTACTCCAAAGATTTCCAATTCCAATCCAAAATGCCAAAGTCCCACTCCTCAAACGCTACATCAACATACCTTTTTGTGGATTCTAAACTTACTGCAATAGCTGCCTTTTTTGGATCCATTCCCCTCCCAAGCCTCAATCTCCCCAAGCTACAAGCCTCCCAAATCCTGACAGCTTCATGCTTGACAGCTCGCCGGCCTCCACCCCCATCAGATCTCCAGAGTCGCCCTTTCCGCCGTCCTCCAACCTTCTTTCCTCTCGGACCCTCTTCCAATGTTCGGGGAGCCGCGACCTCTCCGCTGGCCTCGCCCCGACCCCGCTGTCCCCTTCCGGACCTCTCCGACCCTTCTCCAGGTAAGCGGAGCCCCTCGCCCTTCAGGGCCCATCTGCGGTCCTGGCTCCCGCACTTGCCATCAGGGTTCCTAGGCTGCAAAAACACCAGCAGTTTCTGTTCCCGAAGGCCACCCCCTTCCTCAGACCGCTTCCCTCAGCACAAAGTCACTGGCGCGTCGCCGGGGGACCCCAACTCACCCCCGCCTCCGCCATCTTCTGGGAT